TGGGTCAGTCCTTCATCTACCCCCATTTCCCCTCCCCTCATCCTCTGAGTAAGGTTATTCTTTCTCCTTTGGGGGTTTCTTTTTGGGAGGGGGTCTGAGTTTCTGTGTCTCCCACTCCATTTTCTCCCTCTCCTGCCCTCTCTGTGTGTCTATTCTCCCCCTAGCCCTCTGAATCTGTGACTTTCCCCTTCTTCTCTCCCACACACTGCATCCTGGGAAAAAGAAAGATGGTATGAGTGTGTTTATTTATTATTTATTTAAAAATTTGTATGCCATCCTTTATATAAATATCTCAGGACAGCTTACAGCAATTTAAAAGAACAATTTAAAAAAGCATCTAATAACATCCAATAACAATGTTGGCTAATAAAAAGAGAAATCTTCTGTGAGGTTGCCTTCTGTACAATGGGAGTTTTGTGTTTGAGCAAAGCTACTACAATAGTGATTTTCTGAATAGGCATTTCTCCATGGCAGCTATTTTGCAATTGCCTCCATGAGTGTCAAAATTCCAAACAGATCCATAAGTCCCAAAGGACTGTAGGTCCCTGTACTCTGAATGAAAGTACTTATGTGTAAGCTTTCTTTTAGTACAGTATTTATTTATTTGCTGGGGGGGGGGCTTTTAGTTATTTACAGGGTGGCCATTTCTATGCCACCCTGTAACCCAAAGGTTCTCTGGGAGGCTTACAATCCTAGAACATAAAAATGTATATAAATACAATAAAACAATTATTGATCATATAAAAGATAAAACAATAAATAAAATAAAATAGACTACTAAATGAGTGGTAGAAAAATACCTCACTTAATTGGCAAAGTGCTTGGAAATCTGGTGCAGAATTGTGGGAATTTTATATACTTCATTCTCATGCAGGGTTGATGCTGAAAAATGGCCTAAAATGATGGTCATTCCCAGAGAGTTGACCTTTTTAAAGTCCTCTTTCTTCACAAGTATCCTTTCTGGATTCTTTTGCCCCTTGGAAATGTGCTGCTGGCCAGGTGTTTCTGTCATCCCAGTGAAGCTAGGAAAGACAAGATCATTTTTCTGTAGCCAGGCACCATGTCATCCACGGCACTCTGCTTACACTACATTCCAAAGGTTCCTGTGCACTTGGTCATTCCTTCCAGAACAGACCAAACTTGGAAATGACCTGGCTGTTTTTAGACCCTGGGAAGATTTAGCTACTGGGCCTGACAGCGGTATGGAATGCCTACACAAAGATCAGACTCTCAGCAAGTTGCTAATTTCAGGGGCTCATACAGCCATGTATGTTTCTCCTCTCATTTTCTTACATCAAGCACTCATATTATCTGAACTCCATAATCAAGTGCGGAGACAGGAAGGCCTCCCTGCCTGTAACTATTATTCAACAAGGAAGATGAAACAACCTACCACATGCTGCAGAATGTTGTGAGCCGCCCCGAGGCTTCAGCGAATGGGGCGGCATAAAAATGTTTTAATTAATAAATAAAATAAATAAATAATTGGCAAAATAACAATATCTAGACAGCATCTGTTTATTGAGGCTCAACACTTAAAGAGAATGCTACAGTCAACACAAACTTTTGGATGTAGCATGCAACTTTTGTAGGAGTTATGACCAAAAATGCCATTACTCTGAATCTGGTAATTCAACCTACTCTTTCACGAAATTACCTTGTTTCATGTGAAACACAAATGTTCCAACAGGTCGTAGATCACAGAATAGCAGAGCTGGAAGAGGCCACGAAGGCATCAGGTCCAACTCCCTGCTGTTGCAGGACACCAATTTATACCATCCCACTCAGTTTCTTTTTGAATGTCTCTAGTGTGGGAGAGCCCACAATCTCTCTAGGCAACTGGTTCCACTGTCGTATTGCTCTGATAGTGAGGAAACTTTTCCTGATATCTAGCCTTAACCTGGGTTGTCACAACTTCACTTGATTATTATGTGTCCTTCACTCTGGTATCAGAAAGAAAAGATCTTGTCCTTCCTCTTTATGACAGCCTTTGAGGTACTTATAGAGGAATATCATGTAACCACTCAGTCTTCTCTTCTCATGGCTGAGTATGCTCAGTTCTCCCACTCTCTCCTCATAGTGCACTGCTTCCAAACCCTGGATCATTTTTGTTGCCCTCCCCTGGACCCTTTCTAATTTACCTGCATCTTTCTTAAATCCTGGACACTGCATTCCAGATGGGGTCTGACTAGTGAGGAGTATAGGGGAACTACTACTTCTATTAATGCATCCCAAAATAGCATTTGCCATTTTGGTGGCTGCATTGCATCGAGTGCAGAGAATGATGTCATCCAAAGAACTGTAAGTTTTTAGCCATAGTTTACCAGGAAGTAATTCTATCCAAACCCCACTAAAATGAAAAGAAGCTGTAAATGGTGCAATAATGAGTGAACATGAGATGAGCACAGGCACCATTTACAGCTGGCACTACTGCTAAAAAGTGGAGTATTCTCAGGACCTGTGAAGTGAATGTCTACTTCCCAAGCAGAGCTCCTGGGATACCATTACCAAAGGTATCTGTAACCAAGCTCTAGCACTACTCAGTCAGTTTGCCCAGCAGATGCCATTACCAAATGGTTCTCCTACAACTAGAGGGAAAAAGCAGTTGAGAGTCTCCTTGTCACATCCATAGTGTGTAAATCCCATTCCCACCAATGCCTCAGGCACTGAAAAAAAACCAGTGCTAAAGTGAACAAGGAGAAACTGTGATCTTTTTGCTTTGTTCCAATTAAAGAGGCGTGACTAAGGAAATTCCTACAAGGATTCCTTTATTTCCTTCTCATTTTAAGCCTAAAGTGGTAGGAGGTGGTTGTACAAAGTAGGCATGGCAGCTTCCTTCAGGCCAAGAGGGAACAGTAGAAAAAATCCAGTTAGGGTAACCCCATGTGCAGCAAAAGCAAATTTCAGTAAATCCCCATCACTCCTCCAATGACAATAAATGGTAACCAAATTAGCTCTGACATGTGCTCATATACCCCATCACCTTCCCCCATTGTGGGAAGGAGGTGGGGTACACACAGTAGAAGGGAAATCTCACATGCAGAGAAACAGTTTATTTGTTTTTAAATTCAATTTCATTTTTTTCATACGGCACACAATATAAAAACCTGCCGATTTCAGAAGGCCTCATTATATTAATAAAGCTCAAGCATAAGCAGCATACAATTAATCAATCTTTCCACAAGTTTTCTCCTTTTCTCAAACTTTATGGCCATGGAAGACAGGCATATTGTTTGAGGCTGATTAATAATCTAATAATTTTGCACAAATATTTTCTCCAGATAATTCCTGTTATAATGTTCCTTAAGCATTATATCCTAGGCTAGAATCAACCCAAACAGCACATCCTTGTCGTACAGCAGGTTCTATTCTACCTGAGCTGTCAGCTTCTAACCTAAACACAGCCCCTTAAAGCTTCCAAAAAAGCAGAAGACAAGATAGCTTCAGTACCTCCTACTCACAACTCTCCTGCTGTCCTCCTGCTCCTGTATGGCACACCTAGAACCCTACTTGCCACAGCAGAAGGTGGTGGAAAGCAGAACTATGAATCTTTGCATAACCCAATATTGAAAAATGTTATCACACACTATGACATCACAATAGTAGGTGAGCATAATGGTACATTTCAATGCAAACTTTTTAGCAGGGCCTTTTTGCTGTTTTTGTGTAAAACATCTGAAAATGTGAAGCAGCATGGTAAGTCTTGGACATATAAACTCTGATTTCACAGCATTATCTCTGGGTGTCATACAGGAAAGAAACATAATTTTAACATATCATGATGTATTTAAATAACACTTGTTTTACATCCTGTGAAGGAATGAAAACATGGCCAAAGTTAGATGTAACCAAATACATTTTATGGACACTTAAATGGTACAATACCATGCACTTCATTTGCAACAATTATCACAACTGAATGCAGTCATCATCTACTGTAGGATCTCTATCCAACTTTGAACTGTTCTCTTATGCCACACCGTATAGTGCAATGGCCTCTGCCTTCTTAACAGCAATGTTGGATCAGACCAATGGTCCATATAGTCCAGAATTCGGTTCATACATCAGCAAATTAGCTGCAGGTAGGAAACTCACAAGCAAGATATGAGTGCAACAGCGGGTCCTAAGCCATGTTCCCTGCCAAATGGAGTATGCAGGCATACTTCCGCTAACAACGGAGGTAGCATCTAGCTATTAGTAGCCATTGATAGCCTTATCCTCCTTGTTGTTGAAGCCCCATTGGTGAGGGTGTTCAAAGATAGGCTCGACATGCATATGGTGGGCATGTCATGAGCGGAGCCAGCTGGAGCCAGGGGTCAGACTAGATGGTCCAAGAGGTCCCCTTCTGACTCGCTCTGTTTCTATGTTCCTATGTATTTGTCCAATCCCCTTTAAAAGCCATTCAAATTGGTGCCTTTCACTAAATCATGTGGAAGTAAATTCCACAGTTTAACTAAACATATATGAACTACTTTTATCTGTCTGGTGTCTTCCACCAGCTTCATGGAATGTCCCTGAGTTTTAGTATTATGGGAAAGGGAGAAAACTATCTTCCTGTTTACATTCTCTATACCGTGCATAATTTTGTACTTCTCTCTCATGCCTCCTTTTTTCCCCTAAGCTAAACAATTGCAGAAGTCATAATCATTCTTCACAGGGAAGTTGCTACATCCCCCTCCACTTTTTTAAAGTTTTTCAACTCTACAGAACATTTTCTAGATACACTCTGCAGAAGTGTATACAGTATTCTAATGGTGGTTGCACCACGGATTTGTATAAGAGGAGTACGATTTGTGCAGCATTATTTCCAATTCCTTTCCTAATTTTGCCTAACAGAGAGCTTACCTTTTTCACAGCAGCATATGGGGTTGACATTTTGATTGAACTGAGTGCCACATGAAATCTTTCTTTACCAATAGCTCAGATCTCATCAGCTTATATTTGAAGTTAGATTTATTTATTTATTTTGCCTCAACATGCATCACTTTACACTTGCTTACCCTTTGGTCCTTTTCTCCCAGTCTGGAAAGATCCTTTTGGAGCTCCCTTTTGTTTTAAGCATCCTATATAATTTGGGTCATCAGCAACACTTCTCTGGTCATCAGGCCTACTAATGTGAGACTTATCATTTTTATTCTCCACTATATTTTAACCATCAATATCATCCAACAATGAGAGAGGGCTCCCGTGACTCAAAAAGGTATTTAGAAGACAAAGTTTCCTACAATTTTTTTTGTCACCCTGTGTAACAAGGTGCATCCCCTATACAAAAATTAAAGTACAAGGACCTGTTCTTTCTTTTATCTGGTCAATAGAGCAGTCACAATAAATATTTGCATTTTGAGTTTCTCAGTCAATAGTGTAAAGGTTTAGACAGGATATGAAAGACTTACTCAAAATAGGCCTCAAAAGCACACCTTATCATCACAGGATGAAATAACAATGCTTTTAGAAATCATTACTACACTATGAATTCGCAAGTACATTTCACAGCAGTTTGCTCCACTTAAGGATCCTGACATAAGGATGTTAATTCCACCTTGCTATAATGGGCTTAGACCACTCATAGCCAATACTAAATTTTATGCTGTGTTGGCCTGTTTGTTAGGTTAATAGCATTGCTTTATTTGGGATTTTTTTTGTTTCAATGTTATGTTTTAAATTGCAAAATACTCAAAGAAATATATTTTGAAACATTTAGTGAATTAAACAAAAAATACACATATGAAATTGCATGGCACTGCTTCTAATTAAAACTTAATCTGGTTTGTCACCACAAGGACCCCAATGCTTATGCACTAGCACTTCTCAAGTGTTCCACTTCAACTAGTTACTTACTGATTACAACTGACTCAGCAGATTACAGGCGGCACTTGTCCTCCTAAACACAACTGCAAACCAGTTTGATCAAGCAAAGAAGTAATCCGCAGATCAGGGCTCATCACATGTAAACCAGCACAGAGACTCAAACATTATTGCCTGCTCCGATCAACATCTGCAATCAAAAGCCACACATACTACCCAACGTCCCTTAACTAGAGGGAATCTAAGACTTCTGCATGTAATGCATTCTTTCTGCCATCAAGCTACAAAACCTTAACTACAGCAAGAAGAGCACTGACTGCTCTCTTTTAAGAATAAACATCTAAATTTGTAGATTCTTCTGGCCCTCTCAGGAGTATATCTGCCTCCAAGTACTGTACATTTACCAAATGTGAGAAGCTACCTAATGCTGAGACAAACCAATGATAAATCCGAATCTATACTGATTACTCCCTAGCAATGCTTCTCAAGAAGCTCGGACAAAGTGTTTCCAAGCCCAGTTACTCGAGACCCCTTTTAAACAAGCCCGAACGTTGAACATTCTGAATGCAACTTATAGCCTCGCCCCACCAAAGTCCCTCCATGGAGTCAGTATGACATCACTTGTCTCCAAATCCTTCTGAATGTTTTTAAAGCCACGATGTCACTCTCTATTACTCCTAAACGACCATGTCTAATGTTTTAACGATGATGATGACGACGACCACTAACTTTTAAAATTTATTACCGCTGCGCGACGTCAGTCATTTTAACCAAACAGGAAAACCTGCTGTCCTTGACGTCACCGCGACATTGTGACGCGTTCTGAAGTCAACTACCTTAGTTGAGTGAGCAGTTCACGCCCATGCCCTCCTCTCTCTAAGCCTTATTGGCTGCCCTCAGGGTTCCTACCAGCGTCTGTTGGCCTGCTCGCCCACCAATCACTGGGAAGTGTTGAAGCCCCGCCTGTCAGGGCCTGGGCCCTTTTCCGACAAACCCTGTTTGGAGTGGCCTCCATGGCGGGGCCCAAAACCCGGAAAAAATCACTTGTCTGCTTCACCTTTCCCGACTGTCTCGGAAAAGGCGAGGGGAGAACCACAGGCTCCGCCATTTTGCCGGGGAGAAGGGAAGGGTAATGGACTTGGACCCACCTGGACCGTCCCGGCCCTGCGAGGCCGCGTCCCCTCAGGGGGAGGGGCGGGGACGGAGTCGCGACTATCGTGCCCTCTCTCGATTTTGGCGGGAATCGCGCTGAGGCGGGAAGGGTTGGTGGTTGTTGTTGTTGTTGCCGGGTTTCCTGGTCGCCACGACTACGGTGGCTATGGCGCCCTCCGTGTTCCCTCACCGGGGCAACTGTTGCTACCCACCTCGGCGCGGGGAGGGGGGAAATGGGTGGTGCCCGAAGCCCATTGGATGCCGTCGAAGTTCCATTGGACTGTTCTTTTGTCAGTCAGTTGTCAGTACTTCCTCCTCCCCGTTAGTGCTAAACCGCACCTTTCGCCGGATGCTTTGCCTTCCTATTGGCCAGTCCGGTATTCCGATCTACGGATTTGACTACGAGCATGTCCTTCTGATATAAAAGGAGTGTCTTAAAGACAGCGGGAACAGATTGGGAGCTGGCACTTTGCTACTGGCTAATAGGCTTGTCAGTAAAGCGGTAGGGTGCGTTAGAAGTTTCGCCTTAGAAAGCTGAGTAAGAGCGCATGCATGTGTTGCAGCATCCTGGGAAATGTAGTTCACTTGTGGCAGGATGACTTCTCTGGTGGTGTAGCTTTATGCTCCTTCGTATCAATATCGTTGGGTGGATATGTATGCATTAGGAACCGTGGTGGATCAGATCAAAGAACTGTTTGTCTAGTCCAGCATGTTGTTTCGCACAGTGGCCAAGCAGATACTTAAGGAACGCGCACAAGCAGGGCATGAGCAAGGTCTGAGGCCGTTCTCCAGCAAATTGGTAGGCAATCAGAGGCATGGTCCTCGCCAAAGTACCACTGATAGGTCATGATGGCCTTCTCGGTTGAGTGATCATTTTTAATAGTTTACCACAATATCTGAAAAGAACTGTTTGCTGCAACTCTGAAAATCTTAACAAAGTAAGGGAATCATCATTAGCTTGGTGGATGGCCAGTGACCTCTCCCTTGCTATGCCTTCTGGAGCTTCAGTATAACTCCCAGTCTTGGGCCGGAAGACTAAGCAAAAATGTAGGTAGCTAGAATATGTGGAATGACTTCAGCCTTGATGTTTGTGCATCATGCAAGCAGTGAATTACCAAACAGTCTGCATGATTTTGAGAGAAGTTACAGAGGAGGATGGATACCTCCTGCCAGAAGGCTGCTTTGCCACTTGTTCAGGGGATTTCAGGTGAAGAAGTAATGCAGTGGGGAGGGTGAATAATCTGCTATGGCACCAATTTCATCTAGATCACTTTTCTCCTAGCTGGACTTGTGTTTGGTCTTGGGGCCTGACTGTGGGGAAAAACAGCTGAGGGGGGACCTGGCAGATGGGGAAATGGCCAAGAATCCTCTCCCACTCATCACTATCCCACTTGCAGTTGCCCTACCCCTACTAGAATGCTCTTCGATGTGACCTGCTATGAAGGACAGGATTTTGCTGCCATCATGTTTAGTTTGAGCCTTAGGAGAGAAATGTTGAAGATGTACATATTCAGTAATAATAATAAATAGATGAAATGATGGAAGGTAAGCAAAAGTCATTGCAACATAATTGAACTCCCATTTTCCCTTGTTGCCTTCACCCTTTCCTTCCTCTTCTCTTTTTGTGACCATCCCTTCTGTTAAATGTTTTATTGTATGTTCAGAAATAAGTTCTTTTCTGATTTTGGGGGATTGTTTTTTGTTTTTTATACTATCTTCGTTATGGTCTGGGGGTCTTTTTTGGTGGGGAATACTGGCGCTATGTCAGGTATCTGATTTTTGATGTTTTTATATTTTAGAGGCTTTGTAAGAAGAAATATTAGTGTGAATACAGAACAAACATTGCAAGAATTATTTTTTCAATACATCACAACGAACATAAATGGCCCCTGAGGAAGGAAAAAGATTTTTTTCCCACACCACATTGGGAAAAATAATATTTTCTACAGACACCTAAGAACTTTTTCGTGTCATAATAGTTGCAAGTGAACATTTTTTGAGAAAAGAATGGGTGAAGGAAATTTATATAACCGATACCTCAACATGATTTGAAGGAGTTTAATAAGCACCTCCAATTCAACAAGCAATTCTTGATCCTGTTGGTCCCTTTTAGATTCTTGTTGGAAAGTATAGTGATAAAGAAATTGCCATGATTAATGTGCATGGTCCTAATAAAGATTCTTCAGTTATGTTTCATGAATATATTAGGAAAAGTGTTGATATTGTTTATGATTATGTGACTGTGGACCCTTAATGAATTTTTAGATCTTTTACTGAATAGGAGTATGCCTGCCCTCAAGAGACAAAAATGTGGTAGGATTTACATCTATACCAAGCTTGGTTTGAGAAATCTGCATTGTGGTGAGAGAGACTATACCTGCATTTCACCAGTCCATCATAGCTGCTTTTGATTAGACTCTTTGTGTTTCCACATCCTTTCTACATCATATAAATGCTTTTTAAGTGGATATGCTGATAGTTTCAGGCCATGCCCCTGTGATATAGTGGTTAAGAGCAAGGAACTTGGTTTCAGGCAATCTGGGTTCTAGCCCCTGCTCAGCCATGAAGCCAACTAGGTGTTTTTTGGCCAGTCACAGACTTGCAGCACAACCTACCTACCTGGTTGTTGTTGTGGGGATAAAATTGAGAGCAGAAGGGAGAGACTGATGTAAGCCACATGACTTCTTTAAAAGAAAAAGGCAGGCTATAATCAAATAAATAAAAATAATCTATATTTTTAATTCCGCTTCCTTTCTTCCTTGTTAAATTATGCTTTTATTACAATGATTTCTGAGCCTGGTAAGAATCACACCTACTGTATTAATGATCAACCTATTTCATTAATGAATGTAGATATTAACTATTAACTGCAGTTCTGTCTGATACATTGCAACAAATTATGGCAAGTTCAACAGATCAGGAGGAATTTATTAAATATAGACAGGAGCTAATAATCCTAGATTTGCTGTTGATCTGATAGCTGTAAATAGTGATAAAACAGACCAAGCTGCCATTGTTTATTTGAATGTTGAAAATGCTTTTGACAATGTTTGCTGGAAATTTATATCCACTACACTGAATAATTTTGACTTTCCTATAACATTTTTGAATTGATTTATACTTAACCCCAAGAGCTAGAGTTATCACAAACAATCTTTCCGCCTTTTCACTTGGGAGAGGTACTACACAGGGAGTAAATATTCTCCATTGACATTTGATTTATGTTTGGAACCCCTGGTGTGTGCTAATAGACAAAATAATGGCTAATGAGATCTCATGGGATATAGATATATGGGCATCTTTAAAGTTGACTCTGGGGGATAAGGTAAATACATTCAAGATTAATATTATACCTTGGATTGTTTATGTTATATGTGAGAACTGGATCTTTCTGGAACTTTATGTCATCAGAACTATTTTTGACCTGTACTAAATTTTGTTTGTTTCCACTTAGATTAGATTGTCTATGTTGGTCACTTTTGGAACCTTCCTATCTTTGATTCTTGAATTCTTGAATCCTATAGTGGATTCTCCCTCCATAGGCATTAGGTTATCAGTATATTAAAACGGATAGCGTTCCTCCAGTGGTTATGGCTGTTGAAGATGTGTGGCATATGATATCCTGTCAATTATATTTTGGGAGGTATGGCATTGGGGGTCTAACTGGCCAGCACAGGAGAAGGAGGGACTGATGTTTGATACCAGTCCCCTCTTCTGGTTATTCCCGCAACCAGAAGGATCCTGGCAGCAATGTCAGCCGCCCCCTGAGCCTGATGGTATTGCTGTTGAATGCCAGGTCAGTCCATAACAGGGGTCAGCAACCCGTGGCTCTGGAGCCACACGTGGCTCTTGGACCCCTCTGCTGCGGCTCCATCACTCAAAACGCGCCGGCACAGCCGCTGATCTGCTCGAAGCTCCACTCAGGAACACAGCACTAGCTAGTTAAGTAAATCAGCTAGTTAAGTAAATCGCTACATTCCTCTGCTAAGCAAGCTTCCTGCAGGCTCTCATGTTACACAAAACGCTGCTGAAAAGATTTTCTTTGTCCCAGTGTAACCTCCTTCATCTGAATGTTAAAAGCTGCGCTTGGGACCTGTCACAATTCACAGCACCTGACTGTTTATCTGCTAGTCAGTCACTAAACACACCTATATGTCCGGCACAGCCGCCAATCTGCAGCGCTGATTTACTGAGCTCCCCCCCCCACCCCCGTAGGCCAACCATGGATAAATCGAAGAAAAGTTTCTGAAGAAAACCAAACATTTAATGGTACGTGGGTAGATTCATTTGCTTTTACTGCTGACAAACTTATGGGGTTTGCTGTTTAATGCATGCAGCCCTTTACCACTGACTTTGACTCTTCAGGAAGCTGTTCTCCTGCTCAAAATATATGAAAGGAGTCCTACTAGTTTATAATGTAAGATTAAAAATAACAGTTTTTAGTGACTGAACAAGAGCTGCAGCTAAATCATAATGAAGATACACATAGCATTAAGGTAAAAAACGATATATGCAGTGTT